CGCGGTACTGGTCCTTGGGGCAGCACGCTCTGGGATAGACACAGTTCTCCTGCTTGAACTCGGGGGACAGCTCGTCAATGTTGACCGACTCGACGTCGCAGCGGATCGTGTACTCCATCTTGACCCGGTCTCGCGAGTACTCAAAGGCGATCCACTGGACACCGTTGCCGTCCTGCCTTACGACAAGAGGCGTCGTCGCGGGGATAGGGCCGGGGGCAGCATTGGGATTGACCGCGGGAGTCGGGTTTGAGGGACTCTGAAGCTGCGGCGGGCCTTGTTGATGGTGGGGTTGCGCCATGGGAGAAGGCTGCGGCTGCTGTTTCTGCAGCTGCAGGGGAACTTGGGGCTCAATCTTGGGCCGCGGGCTGCCCGTCATGCCAGCCTGCGCATGCTGTGCGTGCTGCGCCGCGTGAGGCGGCATCTGGTTCTGCGGTGCCGCATGCGACATCATCATGTTGGGCTGCGATGCCATTGACTGCTGGTGATGATGGGGGTGCTGCGCGTAGGGAGAGGGTGCCGCCTGATGGGGCATTGACTGGTATTGGGGCTGCTGGTAGTACATGGACTGCTGCAAATGCTGAGACGGCGGCTGGCCGTACAAACTTCGGTGCTGGTCATGCTGCGACGGTGACGCTACTGATGCGGGAGAGTTTGACTGTGGTGTATGATATGACATTGGAGGGTAGGGAGGTCTAGGCATTTGGGCGGCGGCCATCATGTCGGAGGTATCTAGAAAGCAAAAACCTGCGTTAGCAAAACCTGGGTCGCCGATGGAATCGCGCGTGCGTGCGTGCCGTTTGCTGCGGCGCAAGACGACTTACCGGCGGACGTGTATCCGCTCGTGGCACCTGGTGTGCTGTACGGACTCGGGTGGTTGTAGTAGTTCAGGGCCTCGGGCGTGCTGGTAGCCTGGTTGCTGGCCTGGTACGCCTGTGGAAGAGTGTGTTGCGACGAGTATGCGCCCTGGTGATGCTGCGGCGGCTGGTGTTGCGGGTGCTGCTGGTGATGCTGGTGAACAATGCTTGGAGGGCGCGAGTGCTGGAGCTGCTGTGAAGGCGGGTGACCTTGTTGCTGGTGGTGGGCTTGATGCTGCATATGGAGAAGACGCATCAGTAAAACTTCAACGTCGAATAACTCATTAAGCTGGTAGAGAAAAACATGTCGAGATAGGACGCGTTTGATGTTTTATCTGCCCCCTTGACAGACTGATGGCCCAGCACGTCTTGGTGGGGTGGGCCATCCCCTGGCGACTGACCGGGATGACACGGGTGAGGCGTGCTAGGCCTGAAAGGACAACGCCGGTAGAAGCAATCTTGGTCTCGCGTACTGGAGGGCAGGGCTTTGGGGTAGAGGCAACGTGGGGACGTCGTACCGCCTAGCTCCAGATGATGAATTGGGACGCCAGCGAGGGATGAGCGGGAGACCGGGGGGGGATGGCTTGCGAAGAAGGGGAGAAGGAAAAAGTGGCAGGGCGGTTTCTTGCGCCGTCGCAGGCACAGAGAGGACAAGCCAGGGGGAAGAGCAGGACAAGGAAGGGGTGGTGGTTGAAGAAGAGCAGGGGGATCCAGCAAGCGTTTGGAACCAAGGACTGACGTGGTATGCAAAGTACAGACAGATGCTTACCGCCGTACCGTACAGAACGGTATGGTCGAAAGATGCTATCGTATGTACGCTTCCTTGAAACGAGACGACTTTCTATGGGGAATTGTAGCGCAGAAAACAACGCAAACGAAGGGCAAACGCGCTCGGCAAGAAGAGAGGCTCGGCTTCCTCTCCTCCGAGAAATTGTCAAGCGGGCTTTTTAATAAGAAAAAAGCTCGAGGAAACGCGCAGAGGATTGAGAAAAAAAAAAGCGAAAAAAAAAAAAAAAAAAGGGCCTAGGTGACCCAAGTCCCATATACTTTTTGGGTCTGCTAGCAGGGGGGGAGGGGGTGTCGGACGGGGGAGGCAGCTTGAGAGCGACGGGGAGCAGGGATAGGCCAGGACCGGGGCAGACCAGCGCATGGGAGACGCGACAGGGGCGCAGAGGTTTTGATTAAACGGCCAATAACGGGCCTGTGAGGTTGAGCCAGGGGCGACACGACCAGGACCAGCTGCCCAATCAGGCATTGGCCAGCCGGGCCTAGCCAGTCGACAAGGATTGCGCCGGGATTGCCATCACCATGTTCCGTCTCGTTAGCCCACAGGCGGTGTGTGTGGGTGGGCGAGACAAGTCGACAGCATGTACCGGTACCAAGGACAAGCAGAATCTCTCAACGGCACTAGCTCGACGAGCGACAATGCGAACAAGGAGCCAGCATCGCCATCCATAAGCCGGCAAGTCAGGCTGGACTCAGTGCCGTGTGAGTGAAGTAGGTACAAGCAACTGTACAGCGCAGTTAAGCGCAGGTAGGTGCAGTACCGTACACACGGCGAGTTGTACTCAATCTCGTACAGGAGAGCATGGGAGCACCTGGGCAAGACAGTGGCCAAGACAGAGACTGATGATAGACCAGATGAAGGTTCCCCGGTTTCGGCTACCGGCGCGGCGGGCACCGAACCCCCGACAACTCATTCTGTGCCCCATTCATCCTTGTCTTTTGTTCTTCTTTGCGTCTTGCACCACCATAGCAGAGATAAAAATGACTTGTACCTCTTTGCCAGTAACAAGCTCCAAGAGTGCTTCTCGTCCATCAGCAGTGGCATGGCATGGCATTGGCATGGCGCGGCGGCACGCCACTCCGGGCAGCTGAATCAGCCTTGGGACGAGACAGGCTTTGTGAGAGATGTGGTGCCTGTGGCCCCCCACTCAGAGCTTGACGATTGGGTGGTATTGGACCCGTGGATTCCAACTGTGTTGCCATCTGAGTGCTGCTCAATCTCCACTGATCTTGGGCAGAGGTCCTCGTCCTCGTAGCCTTGCCCAGGTCTGTCCAGCGTACCAGGTACTGTGTTCCGTACTCGTACCAGCATGCTTGTGCTTGTGCCTGTAAGCGCGGCTCAGACTGATGCCAGCAGCCAACGTGATGCCATGTACCTGTACTCGTACCAGTACCGGGCGGCCCCTTGCCCTTGACACAACTTTGCTCAAAATAAAGATTGTGGAGTGCTGTGCAATTCGGTACAACCACGCCAAAGAGCTCCAAGGGCCTCCAATCACTTGAGGACGCCGGTTGATTCTGGCGACGTAATGAGGAGAGCAGTTGGCCGCAGCCTTCATTACTTCTCGACCACTAGGCCATGTCTCTCCCAATGGCAACAGTCAATCAGACCCAGGGCTCTTCTCGCCTAAGGTAGCTTTATTGCTCCAACACCGCTGACTGACACTGCGGAGCAACCAGACTGGTACTGGTACCATTCGGCCCACTCGACCCTGTCGTAGGTGGCGCGCCCTGGCCGCTGGTGAAACAGGAGCTGCTTTCCCATGCCCACTCAGTGAGTCCCGGCGTGGTTAACCTTGCGACATGGCACGCTAGCGACCTTCATGGCCACAGATCATACCAGGTTTGAATGATGGAGAGTCTTTATACAGATAGCTTGCTGACACCGCTTGGTGCTGTGGTTCTGGATTTGAAATTTGTAGGACGAAGGAGAAGTATTGAATATGAAGAAAAAGGGGTGTAGAAAGGCCAAGAGAGAATAGAATGCTTACCAGTTCATTGGTATGATCTTGAAAGTATGCTCGGGTTTGGCTGAGGGTCGCCATGATGGCAGAATCGGAAAAAATAAGTCAAAGGCTTGGAGATACTAAGCAGTGTCAAATCAGTGAAGCCCGGTATGAGTTTAGAAGAGTAATTAAAAAAAAAAACATCAAGGTTCTGGTTTGAAAATTTTGGACGGTAGACAAGGTTGCTTACCTCGTTTGAGTGTTATTTTAGTAGCTGGCTCTCCAAGACTAGGTTTAGGATGAAGCCGCAAGCCAGGTCATCCAAGTGAGGAATTAGGGATAGGCGATTATATCTGGCCTTTTTGGGGTTCGCTGATTCAGACGATCAGCCGCCATTTCTCTCTCTTTGCTCTTTTTTTTTTCTTTTCTTTTTTAGGATACGCGGGACAAACGCGTCCGAACATGCCCAGTGCCGACGGCGATATGCCTGGAATAAGGGGATGGAGATGTTCCGGGGAAACGAGAAGTGTGATTTATGCAGAGAGAAGAGAGTAATCAATCCAGTCATGACATAATGGAATCATGGTAAGGAAGTTCCAGGAGGAAATGGCATCGAATTCGAACAATGAGTGTAGGTAGCACAGAATATATAAAGCAGTACTCACTTCGAAGACCAGATATTTTCGGTATCCGACTTGGGCCAGCTGCAAGGACCAATGTGCCGAGTTGTCGCTTCTTGAAAGAGTGCGTTTGTCTGGAGGAATTGCTTGAACTGAAGCAGTATCTTGTACAATGACAGACCAGATACTGGATGCAAAGCCACACGCAGTCGCAGTTGGCTTGTGATATCTCGACCGCCCAACGTTGAACTGTGGCGGCACGGTTGCGTCGTGGCAAATGGTTACTTCGACTACTCGTACCTAAGAGGCAAGCCTCCTGCAGGCGTCTCGCTCAGGTGCTAGGTTCAGCGGTAGGTGCTACTCGAGTTGTTACATTAGTTCATGCAAGTCCAAGGATATTGCGGCATCCCATCAGCGACGCTCGTGGCAATGCGTACAAACCAGAGCAAAGAAGAATCAGCGGCAACCGGATCACTGCGGCACAGGTACTCGTACAAGAGGACTGGGCCGGTCTCGCAAATGTCTCGATGGAAAAGATGCAATGTGATTCAACATGGAACACGTAGAGTAAATAAGCAAATGAAGAATGATGGAGGGGGAAAAGGCAAAACCAGGATACGCTCAATCACAAAAGAAATTCGAGGCGATCATCCTATGCACACGACATCGCTCGAAGAGGGTAAGGAGATGACAGGACAGGAATAATCTAGCGGTGCTAACTGCCTGCAGCAAGAAGGTACGAGTACTGGTACAGGTACCTTCTCTGGCGGGCCGGAGTACAGGTACCTGGTCCGGGCAAAATACCTCCCGTCGTCTTTGCTCCTCAGCGCTGTACTCGTACCGCGCAGGCTTGGTGCTGGCCCCTTTTACCCTGGGAGGCGGGCGATTCCGAGGCATCGGCACTCACGCTTCGGCTTAAAGACCTGAACAGGGGTGCTCTCCAAAGCATTGGTGATGCTAGCAGCAGTATCGTACATGTACTAAAAGGAACAGTGGTATATCGATCGGCTTGGGTGTATGCTAAGAACGGATAGAGCTCACCAGCTACTCCGTAGTCACGTAGCATTTGCTCTTTTTCTCTCGAAAGTTCAGGACAAACGCTGCCTGTAGCCTGGCGATGCTGCCTCCCCAATACCAACAGTCCTGCTAAGAATGATGTTTGGAGACACTCAGGTATGAGGAAGTTCCTTGTGCCATTGCTTGTACCAATCTTGCGTTCTCCAAAGGCCAAGCGCACAAAACGTCGTAGTAGCATTCTAATCTGGCTAGGTCGTTTCTTTTGGACATGATGGTGGAGAGCAAGGGTGGAACGGTCCAGGAAGAAAGACCTGCCAAATGGTTAGTTGACTTGGTCAGCACTAAAGCCCTGGTCAAGGTGCGGCAAGATGCTTGCAAGTCAAAACTGCGACTGTCCGATTTTGGCAGCGTCTGCTCCGTACAGACGATTAAAGATACAGGTACCTGGAGGCTGGTCCATGTGTCGCGCAGTGGCGATGCCATATCAATAACAGCACTTGAACATGTAGTGGTGGCAGTACGAGTAGTATCATTGTGCTCAAGTCGGTTGAGAGGCGTCACGCTGAGCAATGCCCAAGCCGCATATCCCGGCGTAGCTATCCAGGAATAGAAACTGCTCTACGAAAGTCTTCACCACGCCACTCTAGGCAGATTGACCGTGGGGCCTCCCTTCGTGGGACATAGCAGCCAAGTAGTGTAGAATAGACAAGTCCTACACAAGTAGGCAGCGATATTGATTTGTATGGAGAGGTACATGCTGCTTTTCGGATACGGCGCGTGGGAGGTGGCGTGGAGTCGTCGACCTCTCGTCTCCAACTTCCATTGGCCTGGGACATGTCAAAGCCTGTTTGCGTGAGGAATATCTGCGCAACATTTGTAATTGACCTCGTGCCGATGCGTGTCGATATTGAGCCCGGCTTGGCGTCTTGAGTAGATGATTGCCTGTTTCTCCTTAGCTTTATGATTTCATCTTCTGCCCTTGGTGGCAGTGGGAGCCACCTCTGCAATGCTGACTGCTGCTTTGTTGCAAGCGGCTTACAATACGCATGTTGCACAGGCGTAATGAGCTGAGGACATTGTTAATGCGAATTGGTATTTTATTGGTATCCAGTCGCAAAGACCTTTGCAGGTGCACCGCCCAAAGGGTAATGGCAGCGGTAATGCTAATACTCTACGCCCTCTCTCAGGTGATTGTGATCCTGATGTTTGGTACCTATGTTTCGAACAAAGTGCTTGTCGAGAGCAGCATCACGGCTTGGTAAACCGTTTGCCAATCGAGCATGTCCACTCTTGTCAATTTCCGTTTCTGTCGTGGCTGCGGAGAACCTCTCGCAGTTTAGTCGCGGTTCGGTCCCTCTCAGAATACCCACATTGTACAAAACGGGCCGGACCAGCCGCCTGGACTAAAGATTTTTTGTCTGCGTGCATGGGATGAGCAAACAAAGCGCAAGCGGCAATACCGACTCTTCTCTATAGGTCATTCCGTACCTTGCGTCGTCAAGTTCACGATAGTGTACTATGGAGGTTAGTCGACGGAAGTCCAAGATGGTTGCCGCATTTCTTGCTTAGCCCGATGCGCGTCTGCCGTTGGGGGGGAGAGGCCTCCTCTTTCGTCCCTACTTCTTTTCCTCTTTGTTTGTCTGGTTCTCTTCAGCGAAGAACATTGGATCGACGTTTGAGCTAGCAAATCAATGCGGTGGCACTGACGCCGCCGTAGGGGCGAGGCAAGTAAACAATTTTTGTTGGTTATTAATAGTAGTTCGTGTCCGAAACACTGCACCGGCTGGGCGTGTGTGGCGTTTTCCCAAGTAAAAGGGCGGGCGGGTGCCAAGACTTGAACGAGGAAATTGTGGTGTTCCACAAGGTTCATAGTTTCTCATGCTTAGCAGAGCTCTCATGATGAAGTGGCACGAGATGAGGGGCCCGGACTCACTTCTGCCGCCTCAATTCGGCGCAGATGCGGAGGACAACAACCCTCTCGTAGCCGCATACATCCAACTAGTGCCGCTGCTACCTGCCTTAGTACGTCCAAATGCCACTAAGGCAAAATGACACATTTTTAATTTCCTTTTGAATCGTCCGCAGTAGACACAGAATAAGGCGGTAAAAAATTTTCCTTTGCCCACTTGTGCGAGATATCCTCGACAATACGGAGTAGACCCGAATACCTAAACGTAACGTGTTACGCCAGGGCTTTGCTGTATCCGCCGGCGACGAGCGGCCGTGGTGTTCTTTGACTCGCAGAAAGACGGCTTTCCCGGCTGCAGGGTGAGGAGGCTGCTGCACGTGGAAACATGGAATGCCACTAAGATCAATGGGCCTAGACACCGTTGGCGCCGCCCAGGATCATTGACAGGCACTCAACCCTCTCCAGATGCGCATGCCTGTTCGCACCAGACTTCGTGAGATCGTCTAAGATCCATCCAGCCTTCTTCCTTCGTTGCGCATCTCATCTGTGGTAGCAGCGGCATATCACTTTCCGATGCGGCAACGAGGGGTCATAAGTGGATAGCCTGTCCGGATTCCTAATACCAGTCAATGGCCGCACAACAGCATGTCTCTATGATGACGGAGTATACCTTTTCGTACACTGCATTGGGCGGAGCGGTCAGATGGGGAGAAGCCGGGACAATCTCCCTCAGACTCCGGTTTGTCCCCGGCGGAATTCGCAGCGACGTCCACGCTCTTCTCTGATCTTGCAGCTTGTCCCTCTGGCGGCTTGCCCGTGCACGGGGGGCGTCATCAATCGCAAAAGCCGCTTGCTACCGAATTGGTCCGCTAAGGGCCGACGCGCTTAATGCTCAAGCTCCATGGATTATGCTCGTTCAAGGAGGTCCTTGAGTCGACAAATCTCGGGGTATAAGCGTATGCTTCTCGGAGCTCGACTCCGTCGTCATCCCCCATGGCACGGACATCTTTAGAGTTGTCGACACAGGACGGTGCAATACGCGTGCTCGCTGCAGGGATTCGAAGCGGCCAGAGACTGGCGGATATGCGGCCGAACGGCAGACCGGGATGGACAGAGTCCAGCCATTTGGTCGATGGAGAGGGAAATCCTTGCTCGTCCCTTGTGGAATCTCAAGCTCGGCTTGCCGGGGGGCTCCTGGTCACTGCTGCCTCTCCTAGCGCGGAGAAGATACGAGGGTCCTCTCTGCCCCTTCCCATGCTGTCTGTCGCATGGCCCCCAGTACAGTACACACGGCGCAGTATTTGGTACTTTGCATCTCTCTTCCCGCAGCGCTTTGATCAAAGTTCAAGGTACTCCGCATCCTGCGTAGGCTGCATGTATTTTTTTCTTTGAGGGTCCAAGAGAAGGATCTTGGGCACGCTTCTAGAAACTCGAGATCTCTCTTCATCAAAGACCCTGGATATCCTAGGCGAGAATACCACTACCACCTGCTAATGGAGAATTAGTAGTAGGCAAGGTAGAATCAATCCATTGGTAGTGGTACATCAGTACCAACCTGTGAAACCATGGCTCATTCATCTCAACATCTCACGCCGTGGCGATCCGCGCTTCGTGGTTAAAGCGACGCTCCGAACCCAGAAAATATGTCAGCGCCAAGACTGCGGTTGAAACGGCGACTTTGCTTCCTCAGACGGCGTTACCAGTGTACGAGTACTCGTTAACCTCGCCATAGCCGTTAATCTCATCGAGTCCTTACTGCAGAGGGAATGGGCACTTCAGATGCCAGTGCAGTATTACGATGTACTCGTACTCTGGCAAGTACCCTTTCAAGTCGTTGATGCAACTACACGTACGACGTCGGTGAAATCATACTGACAATGTCCGGAGATGCCGACTGCAGGCATGTCATTCGCACAACTAAAACAGGAAATAACTATTGCTCGAGGCCGCCTTCGGTGTTAAGGGGCAATGTCTTGACACGTTCAGCGACTGATATTCCATTGATTGACTCTTCTTCAGGCTGAATATTCCACTAGCCATCATTGGAGATGCATGTCCTTTTGCAGGTGGAGAGATACTGGCCAGCCGATTCGCAAGTTTCGGCCAAATGACCGTTTTGGTTGCGGCTCAGTCGCGGCGCTACTGTTGTTTTTGCAGCCGGCAATCGTCGATTTCAATTCATCCGGTGCGAGATCTTTTTATGAGGGGTGAGATAATCCAGCTCTGACGCGATATCCAGCTGCGATGGTAGGTCAACTAAAGAATAGGGGCCAATGATACTATCTCTTGCGAGGGCGTGGATGAGTAACCGTCTATACTTATCTGGACTCGACCTGTTGAGTAAGGGTTAGCGGTGAGATCTTAGTTCCTGTAACGTTTAACTCCTCTGCAAAGAGCAAAGCGTCTGGTTGACGGACTTTTACAATGCACGGAGAAAGATGATGGCGACGATGGTGACCTCGATGGAAGCCAAATAGAACATGCTTACTGCCAATCAATAACGCCGGCATATTCTTGTGCAGGCCCGCAGGCAACCATGTCATCGGCTGCTCTCAATGGCGGTAAGCGCCATGTCGACGTCCTTGCGCGAGGCTGGAGCACAAGCAGTGGCCATCCTAGAACGGCAGATGCTGCTCATCGACGCCGCTTCGGTCGCCCCTGGCTTGGCCCAGTGAAGATAGGCGGTTGGTGCGGAGTACTGAAGGGAATACTGATGGGCCATTTCATTCCATCTATCCCTACCGCGCGGCTTGTGTAGAAGCAGGCTCCAAGGATCTCAACCGCGGTACGGGGAGCGGGCTATGGGATCTCCCCGGCGAATCTGTCTGCGCTCACCCGAAGTCCAATGTGTCGTGGCTCTCGCTGCAGCATTTCGTGCCTCCATAAACCACAAGTATGGCGACACAGGCAGTAAATACGATAGACGAATAGGTAGTGTGTCCAGCGCAGACAATTTCCTTCACCAGCAACATGGTCAGTGACTTGGTACCTTGGTAACGTAACCTCGAAAATACTCATGTCATGCCACTTTTTCATCCCCTTTCCCCTCTCTCCACGAGATATCTGTACCGGGTAAGTCTGCCCTCTGGATCACTGCTCTTCAACACCACATGATTCAGCGTGCCATTCCGGCTCCACACATCGCGAGTTGTACATACTGATGCTGTGTTGGTTGATACGTGTACTCGTACTGCTCGCCTGTAGACACGCAAAGATACAGGTACATGCGAGTACTTGGTGCACCTATTAACGCCTGTTCGCTAAGGCAGGGAGGAGACAAGAAGGGTGCGAGCAGGGATCTTCGGCCGCTGTGGGTGTGCTTCGGTAGAAGATTCGTGGCGACATGGTTTCCGGCAAGGGCTTTCCGGCCCCACGGAAGAGACCAGTCCGCCGGGCCATCTGAACGTGGCTTTGTTCTCTTAGGCTTGCACTTGTTTAGTTGAGACAATAGGCGCCCAGTAGCTCTTTGGGAGGTCACATCAGGACACTCGAATTGTGACAAGCGCTTATTCTTCGACATCTTTTTTTTGGTGGAATGATTGACAAAGTTAGTGTTTGAGCGCTGCCTCTCTAGGACTCGAGCAGTCTGAGGTTGCGAGGTTAGCACTTGTTTAGAGGTTAGTACAAGTATTGCCATTAGCAGGTCACCGGAGCGCCGATTGCTCTACCTACAGGTACATGTGCGTAGGTACACGTATGTAAGACGCTTCATGCATGCTGCACCGTTTACCGCTCATTGTAAGTATCGTCAAGTCGCCGACCATGTGCTGCTCCATCCAGAGTCTCAAAAGTTCTCTGGAATTGCGCCGAATTGCTTGGCATTGACCTGTGCGAATAATCGAGGCACTACCAGTATTGCTAACTTCGAGCTACCTTTTCCGTGGATGAGCAGTTGGCAGAATGGTTGTGAGAATTTGCTGATTGCAGTCTCTTGATTTATATGGCTGCGGCGTTACCATTTCTATACTAAGGTACCTAGTATCTAAGGTAGGTGCTACTACGTATGTTGTCGCGGCAGTTCACGTCAACGATAACTCGAGGGCACCTACCTAGAGCAAGGAACCGGAGATCCAAGTACCTATAAAAAGGATATAGATTCCTTATCTTGCCTCTTCTCCAAGTACATAAAGAGTACCAGAGTCCGGACAACTACCAGTTGCTTGGATAATCGGGAGGTTGGAGATACCTAGACAGTACTGGGTACTAGCTAGTACACTTGGTCGCCGACAGAAGAAGGTACCACTAGCATCAAGGCAAGAGGTAGATACTTGACGTGGCGTGTGATACCTGTAACATGGCAAGAGCCTTCGAGGCAATGAGCAACCTTGAAGAGTTACGTACGTTCGATTATTCGCACCTCGCGCTTCTACTCGTAGAGGTAGGTACGGGAGTGCGGCATGCAGTATATCCGAGCGTTATTGCGTTTGCTCTAAGCTTAGTGGGCTCAAATTTTAAACACGAGAAACCTTTAACATGGCGCTACACCACAATAGCTGACATTTCATCTCACGTCTCGAGCTACTCCACCACGCGATGCCCGATCTTGCCAGGTCTGACGGAGCAGATGTCCCTGGCAGTTTCAACCTTCGATTGGCGGATAATCACGGCGATGCGGGTTTTCCAATACGGCGTAGCATCCGGCCATCGCGTACGAGTATGAGTTGGTGCCAGTAGCTCAACGAGACGGGTGCGCGACTCGAAAGTTGACACATGCGTTGTGGACGATTCGAAATTGCTGATAGCTGCTGTACTTGTATGAGACACAGCCCTGAGTGAGTGGCTAGAGGCATTGCCTGGAGATGTTGCGTCTACTCAGCCCCGGTGATTCATACTGACGATTCACAGGCACAACACAATGCAACATACCTCTTTGAAGAGGGCGCTGTTAGAATCAATGGCTCTTGTATGCCTCTAGTGTACAGGTAAGTGCTCGTACAGACAGGCCTGTGCGGAACTGGTACTCCGTACGAGTACAGAGCAAGTCTTCACCGTTTTGTCGCCTAGCCATAATTCTACTAGGCAGGACGGTTTGCATGCCCATCCTCCGTACAATCCTCCGTACAATCCTCCGTATCAAGTGCCGACTTCTTGGCCAAGCAGAGAGTGGCTTTGATAATGGCTAATAAGAGCTATCACAAGTAGTGGATACGCTGAGGCATGGATGCAGATTGGCCGATCGCCGTTGTTGAGATGTAACATGATGTCGGTCAAGGAAACTCAGCATTACCAAAGCAACAACAGTCGTCACAAGACCGGAGGCTCTTTCATCGTGTTGCAGAAACGGCCCCCAAAAAAGAAACAGCCCCATCCCGCAAGTTCGCCGTCTGCACGGCTTATTGTGGTCACCCCCCTCCCCCCCCCCTTTCTCTCTTCTTCGTCTCGTCTTCAGTGCATGACAGTGCATGAGTACTACTGGTACATGCGCATGTACCAGTACTCTGCCAGGTACTTCCATATCTACACGCGAGAATTGTCGCAGCAGCGCTACCTGGCTCGCGAGTCTCATCCTGCTTTGGATGCTACTGAATCTATTAGCTGCATGCGGGAGATGGGAGCTAGGAGGACTTTCCGGCTCTCCGGTCACTGCCTGCAGGAGGGGACAGGCCTTCTCATTCGAAGCCATGTACACGATTAAACAGGCAAGCGTTGCAGGCTGATTGAACGCCGTACTCACACCAGGTACATTGTTCCAACGGTTGGAACCAGTCATCATCTTGCGCCAGGTAATAGCTACCGGTCTCGCTGGTGTTTTCCCGCTTCCATCTGCCACGCGCTTCATGTCATCCAAAAGCGTTACCTCGCATATGGCGGTCAGACGCTCTTCACTGTCTCCCAGCACTTGTTGCATGGATATTCCTCTGACCACATAAGCAGCTTTCTTTGGCTCTGCCGAGGTCTCGTGGAGTCGGGCATCATGCCAAGATTCGCCGTGCGTTGCCCTCGCTTGCCATTCCTCTCCAACATCGGAGCATTCTCCAAATGGCACTGTTATTCTGTACCATGTGGTTCGTGCTTGCAGATGATGTTGCTTGGCTTGGGCGGATTCAAGCCGAGATGGGAGGTCAATATGCATACCCATGTATATGCTCCTCCAAGCATGCTACTGAAGCGATTGGTCGTGGGGGTGCCTAACTCAAAGCTTCCGGATATTTCCATGTACGATACTCGGTGTTTAACGGCAGGTCAAGCAAGTGAAGCAAGCAGAATGAACTGGTTCCTTCTTGCGGGACTGTAGTTTTACATTGGGCTGGCTCTCAATTTGGGGCATCCCAGCAACAGATCCGCGCAGAGAACTGGCCGTTCTCAGTTCCAAGCCAGCCCAACCCCTAGAACGCATTTGCGATGCATGGCATCCAGGCACTAATATCGTCGTCCACCTGCAGCCGTTGGCTAGGCACGGTTCGTGTCCTTAGGTCGAGAGTAAAATATGCATACAGGTACGGGCACTGCGGAGTATTACTTCTAGTACTCCGTAGGCGGCGTTGATTCACCACCTGCGTTATATGACAGATCACTCTGGCTACTACGAGTGCTTACCTGGTATTTACAGATGCTAAACTTGGTAGATAGGTACCGGTACACTTGGGCTCTACAACTGCCAAATGTGACAGTGGCCTGACACGTCCCCGCCTCAGCTCCGCGTCTTCCCTGGCTCTGAGCCTCAAGGTAGCGGTGAGCCGGTGAGCTTCGAGAAAGATATTGCATACGGAGTGGCACTGCATACACATGTGAGTTGGCATATCTGGCAATGCACATGATTCGCGGCTGCAGTGTTGTGGCAGTTTTCCCCAAGCGGCTGTACTTGTATACGAGTATGTGCTGGGCACATCAATCTCCCAGCAGTATCACTCGCTGACCTTGAAGGGGGGTATCTGTTACCTCATAAGTATACGTCGTATCTACAAAGAACACTTTGCTCTATGACAATTGAGCCATAGGTGTATCGGCGACTGGCAAGTACCAATAGGCTTCGTACAGCAACTCTGCTCTATACTTTTCACTGTGAGTACACATATACACACCCCATCCTCGCTCTCCTAGTCCATGCTACAACCCTGAGATTTTGATGGAGTTAAACCCGCTATGCCAGGCACACGAGCTTCTTGTCAAAATCACTTTCAGTAAATCCAAGAAGAAAGTTGGAGAAGCACTCCGTACCATATGGGGCCAGGTACTGTATCGGTAAGTACCAAGGGAGCTTGTTGGAGGACGAAGTGGGTAAGAGATCTCCCAACTCTGCCCCCCAGGACCAACCCCTATCCAATATATCTGCCCTAAAACGAGCAGGGTAACAGCGGGGGTCGCTGCAATACCACCACCAGCAACTTTCTACGTGCATGGAGCCTTTCCCAGTCATCTTTCTGAGAAGTCTGCATCCCCTGCCAGACAGCAAGCGGCCCGGACGCATTGGCCTACACCCTCTGCAGCACGCCCACTGCACCCGTCAAGAGGCATCCCTTCTTGCATCCGAAACTCCCTGCTAATCTTCGTGGGGAGGTAAGACGGCCAGCACGGCTGCAGCCGCGTGTATGTCATCGTGACCAGGGCACCATTCGTCACGGTACAGTGGAGAGAGAAGCGTGCACTCTCGCCGCAACGAGTTAGCCTGTTGCTGCTGGCGCGAGTTGTGCCTTTGAGGACTAACGGAGACTTGACGCTTCTCACCTCGGAATCAGCTTCGCTCCGTTACCGACGGTCAGCATGCCCTGTTGTCCGCCACGACTGACGATCCGATGGCATATGACAAGTTCCAAAACAGGAGTCTTGAAGGGCAGCTACGCCTTATCAAAGGGCACGAAGTAGTATTGTTGCTATTTCGCCGAGTAGAGCAATACGGAGTGGGCATTCATATTTTCACCCACTTTTTCAACTTCTCCTTTCTTCGTCCAATTTTCTACAGTACGAGTACTTACTTATTCTTTCCTCTCTTTTAGCGGCGTTCGATAGCTCCAAGACTAATCATACGTCCTGACATGTTATTATTATGCATGGGCACCGCAACGGCCCGCCGATCCCCGTTACTCATGTCAAGTACGAGTACATATGACATTAGCAATGTAAAAACCTTTTGGTGCTATCAAGTGGCTTACGCTAGGTACCAGCTACCCACCGCCCATCAATATCAACTTTCAAAACGTCTTCATCTGCCCCCTCCTGTGAAAAGAACGCGTCCCACCATATCAACTAAAGCAGGCCCCGCGTCAACCTGGCACATGGCTCATTGGTCCGGTTCTTTCTTGCACGGTGAGATGGTGATGAAGGGGGTGGGGGCTACTATACCCGGCCGTCATTGGGGAAATTTGATATGGCAGTATAAGGGCACAAGAGAAGAAAAAACCCGCAGGCAGAAGGACAAATGAGCGCATACCTAAAGTTTGGAGCCGGACAATTCGCGTGATTGGTAATGCTCTGGAGGAACTTTTTGAAAGAGGGGCTGATGGTTGGAGTATGGAAATACTCGTCAAGGTACTGTACTTTGTACAAATCAAAGATGCTCAACAGTCGTCTTGGTACTCTGTTAACCCAGCTGCTAGGTACGCGCTTGAGCCACAAACGATGAAGAATGCGATTGATGGTCTTTGACTTATCAAGCCATGGAGGCTGGAATAAGCGCAGGACAGGGCAGGGGAGAGAGCACCGGCGTGTTCCGGGGTTTGACACTGAAGCCTCTCTGCTTTGATGAACAGGGACAAAATAAGTACAGGATACGGCAGTCTGGGTAAGAGTGCGTATTTCCGCGTGCCGTGTTGGTTTGCCTCTTTGCAGGTAGTACATACAGTACATGCGGTATGTGTGTGTGTGTATGCGCACATGGGAGAACACATGCGACAGCATCATGTGAGGCTAACAGGAGTCTACTAGGAACAAAGTGGTACAAGCGGCATACCACCGCAAGTACTGGCGAGTGCTAGTACTTGTACGAGCATGCTAAACCGCAGCTACCCTTTGATGAGTCCAGCATGAACTCTTGTGCTCGTACTGTCCATACTAGGTACAGAGCAGCAGCATTACGAGTCCAGTACTGCCAGCATCTGTTACCGCCTGTTTGCACACAGCTTGCTTCTACTCTTCTAGACTTGTTCTTCACTCCCCTTGCACTGTCGGGAGGGGAGAGTGTGGGCCGATGCTAACGGGTGAGCTTTGGCAGATGTCCAGTGCATATTATTAGACTCCATGCCCATCCCATGCCACGACGTGCGTCCCAGGGAGTCGACAGATACCGGCGCGAGTACATACAGGTACCTGTACTGGTACTGATACTGCCTAGCACTAATACAGAATACAGGCGTCGCAGAAGGCAAAAGCAAACCGCCACGACGCGGCCGGGAACAAGCAGACAGGAAGCCGGTCGGCGGTCCAGGACAGAAGTAGTGAGATTCCCTTTTGCTGCGCGTCTGAATGAACTGCACAGATTAAGGGGGTGTGGGTGGGTTTGGTGGAGAGGGCAAGGGCTGGGAAAAGGGGCGCGGGGGGCCTGGAAGGATTTTTGTCCAAACCACACCCCCCTGCCCAGGTAGACGATACTTGGGCCTCGCTGGAGAGAGAAGAGACGGTGGCAGCGTGGGGTGTCGCAGCGGTCCGGGCGAGCTTTCGGACGGGTACTTGGTACCTGCTTCGCTGTCCAGGAGCTGGGGTCAAGAGCTGACAGCGATGCGTACCCTCTACAAGGACAAGGACAAGGACGAGTACACAGTACTGCTAATATGTGTACAGATGTGTGGTCAAGGGGGGCCTGGCAGCTTGTCAGTGTGCCATTTAGACGTGCTGGTAAGGTTTCGAGCCATCTGCTGGCAGCGACTGGCAACTTCGCGGCAGTGGTGACATTCCAGAGGAGGGGAAAGGCCAATAATTGGGGGCTGGGAGGAAACGAAGGAGAGGAAAACCGGCTTGCAGGCGGGTAATAAGAGAGGCAAACGCGGTGACGGAAAAGGGAACGGCAATTCGCTGTGCGTTATAAAAAGCAAAGACGTGCAGAGAGAAGAAAAAAAAGAGGCGAGCAAAGCACTAACTACTAAATAAGGGACCAATGGGTGAAAACAAGAAGAAGACAGCGGAGGATAGGTCCATACAGACGAGGGTACCAGGTACATACAGTTGGGCGAGGCGGGTTAGTGATGTTGACCCCGTAACGGGACACTAGCGGTGACATTTAGCGCTTGGCTGGCACTGATGGCGCTGTAAGTCGATGCTTCAATTGTTTGGAACGACTTGGTGCGCGGTCTGGAGAGGGGGAGGCAACAGGTACAGGTACAGGTACAGGTACTGGTACTGGTACTGGTACTGGTACTGGTACCCACACAAGTGCTGAACCACCCACTGAGGTGGATTTTGATACTGGATGATATCATGGCACCATGAGCACATGTTGGAGTAACAGTAGCCCACCACTACGAAGACCAAAAAAAAAGGGAAAGAAAAAAAAGGAACTTTGGTGGTTACAAGGCGGTGCTAAGCTGCCACACTTGGAGTTTCCACGGAGTACTCGTACGAGTTCAGAGCACAAAAGGAGAAGGAGACGAGGGAACAGAAGAAAAAGAAGAGATTGTTGATGAGAGCAGAGGCACATCCCGTCTGTAATTATGAGTACTTCGTAGTGATGGTATTAGTGCCTGTTTCCAGACATTGAGAAATCAAAGAATCCGACGGGCAATAGAAAGATGTGTGTGTGTACTGGTAAACAAGTAACAAGTAACTGGTACCGAGGCCAAGAGAAGAAGAAGGAGATTGCGTTGGGGGAAACGAGTAAAAACCTGAAGGATTCAAGGAGGGTTTGACCACGCCAGAAGATCGGCCATTGGGATTCGGCGAAGAGGACGTCATTTGTAACTTCGTATTCTTTTGGGGGGTTTTTTTTGTCTCGCTCGCTCTTTTTTCTTTTCTTTTTTTCTGCCTTCTTTTTTCTCTCGTACACGTCGTGCGACCCAACTTTTCGGTGGTGAGGGGGTGTATGGTGTGGTGTGGTTGCAGGTTCAATTTAGTTTAGTAGTTGCTTTTGTAACTCGTCAAATCTTCAAGTATAGAATACCGAACCGAGCGTACTTAATAAATTGCCCAGGACATTGTCAGATCTGTAAGTCTTAAGATGGTGAGAACAATACGACTTGCATCCACCTACCCTATAACTTTATATTGCATCTCAAAATCTCAAAACATCAACTATTTCCTTGCTCTCTTCATCATCTCATCTCATCCCATCCCATCCCCCGTAACTCAAACCCAGTCCACACACAACATGCACCCTCCCGTCAATCTGAGCCCGATGCGATACACGAGCACAAGCCCGCAAAGATCCTTCCCCCCTCCCCTTCAGTTCTCCGGGATAAGAAAAGAAGAAAGGGGGGTAACAGTAACACCAAGACAAAGCAACAAAGTAAGTACAATAGAGATTGTCGCCCCCCCCCCCGAACCCTGTCTCGCCTGGGGAGATACAATGTGTGGCGATTGTGTAACAAAGAAAAAAAGAAAGCTGGGTGCTGGATGCTTGTACGCTCTTTTGCCTTCCCCCCCAACCCTCCCCCAAGACATAGACCTGCGAGAAAGGGAAGGATGGGGGATACCTGCAAGGAACTGCTCTGCTTGGGGCTGAAGAGAACGAACGGGACATGGAGTTGTTGCTCCGTCTCGCTGGGATAGCCGAGCATCTAGCCCATGTTCTCCCCCATGTTTAAGCCATGCGAGGGGCCATGGAAGAGGGAATGTACTGTTACAGGCACATGCGCAGAGGCAAAAGAAGCGACGGTACCCCATTATGGCGGGTATGTCTCAGATTGACGATGTAGCAGAGCAGATGGTTGTTGTAGATTTCCTTGTTGGCCGATGAGAATAGACAATAGTGTATATCTCGCCACATTGTATGCAAGCAGTCATAGAATATCATCACAGCGTCAACATGACTATACAAGAGAAAAATCAACCCAAGCTTTTATTCCCTTAGATCCAATTGTAAAAAAAAAGAACTTCTGAAGAGATAAACAAGAGTAGATGTGAGAAACCAATAAAACCAAATCTCTCGCTCGACATCATTCATTCATTGGCACGTAATCCTCTACTTACCACCAGCGTAGATTCGTCAAAAACATTTTACTTCAACATATAAGAACTGAAATAAACTTTGATATAACCCGAGCAAAACGCCTTGTGTAGCTTCAACCCATGAGGAGATGAGATGGAAAAAGATAAGGGAAAAAAAGAAGAGGAAGAAAGTTGCAGCAAAAGAGACCAAAGAAGAAAAAAAACGCCAAATATCAACATCGTATCGCGCGGAACATGCTCATCACAACACGCACGCATAACAAGGCTTGCACGCTTAGGCAGGGAAATGCTGCGATCTTGCTCCAGAATGCTTTTTGTAAAACATCATCATGCCTCTCGGTGAGATCGGTGATGATGATGGTGGTCCACGTCTCGTGACCTGGACTCATACTCATCATCGTCATCACGCTTGTGTCGGCGTCGCCTCTCTCGATCACGGTCACGGTCACGGTCGCGATCAGGCTCACGAGGGTCGACCACATCGAGATCGTCTCGGTGACGGCGGTGACGGTGGCTTCCACGGCGTCCCCTATCGTCGTCGTACTCTTTGTCGTACTCCTGGTCATATTCGCGGTCGTACTCACGACCGTACTCTCTATCATAGTCTCGGTCATCATAGTCACGTTCGTGGTCTCGACCGTGGGATTCACGGTCTCGGTCACGGTCGCTGTCATGATCACCACCACCAGACTCCTTGTTTCGTCGCCTCTCTGTTTTCATGCAGTCAATATGCTATTCATATAAGGAGTAAAGTGAACACAAGGGAGGGGATACAATGATTATGGCAGTCTGTTGGTCGTCTTACCTCTCAAAACTTGTGTGGCGGCAGCATAAGCCTGAATCTCTTCCTTGCTAAGGACTCGAAGTACAATGACAAAGTCATCACGGAGCTCAAATCTCTCCTTGCCAATTTCCAGGGCCTCTGGGTTGACAATCTTGCGGTTGATCTTGGTCCATCGAGCCCCCGGTGGGACTTCTTTCAACTTCTTATCCTCCTTGTGCGGTGCCACGCCCTCGCGGATAGGATTGAGTTCCTCGGGAAACTTGGCGCTTGGCTGCTTGAGAATACCCTTGAGAGGCTTATCCTCCTTCTTCTCGCGCGGCGGCGATACAACACGGACTTGCTTTTCCTCTGGGGAGCGGAGGACTAGATCGCGCCCACGGTTGTCTTCTCCGGCAGGTGGTGATTCAGACCGACGATCTTCTTTGGCCGGAGGAGATGCCCGGTCTTTGCCATTGGTTTCAGGCTTCTCACTGTCAGACGTCTTCACAGCGGCGAGCTGCTCACGGATTTGCCTTAGATCGCCAGTGTCATTGGGATCAAAGCTGTGAGAGGGACGATGTCTGCGCGCCGTCTTCTTCTTCCCCTCATCGGAATCAGAGGACACAACTGCGACCGAATCGCCATTCAGCTTGGCCTCAGCTGATCGCCTGTTTCGATCTCTGGCCTCAACCTCTGACTTTGCGGCCTGACGCTCTCGATCCTCATCTCGCCCTTCAGACTGATCAGAAGCACGGCGTCTCCGTGGTGAACTTGGCTCTGGCATCTCATCTTTCTTGGCGTTTGGTGAGAGGCCACTGGCAGCCGCAGCCGCAGCCGCAGTGGCAGTAGCAGCAGCGCCTGCGGAAGCGACCTTCTCCCGGACTCGGGATCGGTCACTGTCTTCTTGATCTGCGTCTCTCCTACCATCTAGCCTCTCACGGAGGTTATCTTTATTCCGGTACCAATCTTCCCTCTCGCGGTCAGATCCCCGATCTTCTTCACCATGAGGCCGCCGCCCTTCCTCGACTGGAGCTTCTATTCTCTTACGAGAATGATCTCTCCTGGCTGAATCGTCTCTCTCATGTTCGTCTCTCTGATCATAGTAGCGGCCCCTGGGGTCCTCGATATCATCAGGCTGGACCCGTAGACCGAATCCGCGGGCGGTGACGCTGTCGTCATAGAACCGCCGGGGTTCATAGCCATCATCATCGTAGCCTCTGTAATAGTCATCAGGATGAGAGCCGCGAGCTCCTGGCTCCTGTGTGAGCGAAAGAGGTCTGGGACGCCTGATGGTACGCTGCTCTGCAGAGGGAGCAACAACGTCCAGCGGCCCAGATGCGTTGGGGTTGGGAGGAGCTGGTGCAGCGGGAGGGACGTTTTCATATGCTCGGCCGATCTTGTCAAACCCACGGGTCGAAGGAGGAGGACCACCTCGACTGTCGTAAGGCCGATTAGCTCGGGTAGGATCAAGCGTCGTGTTGACGTTGAAGCTTCGCTGATCCGCGTTATAATTGATGTTGGGACGGGAATATGCCCGGTCAAAGCTGTCATGTCTGCGGGAACGGGCCGGAGCGGGGGTGGCCCCATGGTCTAGATCATATCGAACCAGCTCGCCGGCATTTGTATACTGGTACCCGTCATCGCCGTAGTCAATAGCGGCGTTGCTGTGGCGAGAGTTGCTCGGGTAGACAACGTGAGGCCGAGAGTTACGATAGGCATCGGCGTCGCGACTGGCCAGCACGATCTCTCCCTGCTCCCTGGAGCGGCCAAAGTCGTCGCTGGCAGAGGAAGTGTGGTATGGCCGGGCGGTGCTCCGGGATCTGATGGACGACGCCGGCTGGGAATAGAGCCTCCCGTCGCTGGACCGGTACGTGTCTTGGAGGACGGGGCTTCCTCTGTGGGCGGCAAGGACATCGGCAGTGTGCGGGCCCGAAGTGTGCGGGCGGTGATCCTGCATGGTCGTGACGATGATGGGAGGCCTGGCCGACGCATCGAGGGTAGAGCGCCGGTTGCGGCTGGGCTCACGAGGGCCCGGCCTGGGAGCCCGCGGCTCTGGGTTGACGGTCGAGTACGATCTCGGAGGCACGCTTGCAGGAGGCGCAGCTGCTGTGTAGCCTCTGGGAGTGGCTGCGGAATATCTCGTGGGCGAGGCGACGTAATCCGGGTCGTTGGCATACAAGGCTCCATATCCGCCTACAGCGGGCAGAGAGATCCGGGCCGGGTTGTTGAAGGTGGCGGACCGGCCAGCCGCAGGATACCCTCGATATCGATCAGTCATGGTGTTAGGCCCGGACACAAGACGATGCGTCCCCTAGACAAGATGCGAAAGGCGGGCGACAACAATATAAAGATGGTAGAACGGACACAGACTGAGAGCGTCCTGAGCTAGATAGAGCAGAAGCAAGTGATGCCACAGACACACGTCACAGGCGGCTGTCAAAATCCCGTCACAGCCAACCAAGCAATGCAAAGAACAAGGAATGAGGGGTCGCCGTCCACGTCGTGAGATAATAATTCTGGTGGGAGAAAATCCTTGTATATATGATCGCGGGGTTCCGTCAGCCTTAGTACCAGCACAGCATCTATCGGGTCTACCAGGGGGTCTCCCACTTGACGGTACGGTTACGAGGATAAGAATTGAAGGCACTCGGCAGAGCAGGCAGGGTTAAAAAAAATTTCAAAGGCCCGAGAGCCATGCAGTGCAGGGTCCAGAAAAAAAAAGAAGGGTTTGCTTCGTGAGTGATTCGCCCGACGCAAGGGAGAGGGGACACCAGACGGTTAATGTGCGCGATGCAGGCAAAACGGTCTGGGGTTATATGACGACTTTGCAAGGTACCAGGGGTTGATAGTGGGCAGAGTCCCCGTAGAGTTACGGCTAGGGAGACTCTAGGGAGAAGCCACCACCCACTACAGGCGCTATAAGTGCACCGATCAGCGTGCTAAATGTGCCTATTCTTAGCGGGACAAGGCCTTAGTGGCGGTCCGGTAGTTGCCAACCAGCGCCCGTCGCTGCGGCTCGAGCTGATGAGAGCTGCTTAGTTGCTGTTGGATGGCGATGGAGGCTCGTGGTGGCATCAGAGTTGCGGCTTCGTGATGACGGAACTGACTGAACAATGAACAATGAAACTTTGCCACGGAATTGCCCGTCCAGCTGAGCTACACATGATTTAAGCTCTGCTGCTATCCTCGGCTTGCTGATTGTCGACGCAGCTCTACTTGGTAAGCTTCTCCCGGACGTTCGGATGTGGAGGAACACCAAGGAACAGGGAGGAAGACACCAGAGAGTTCCCGGGCTGGCATCTACTGTAGTCTACTATACTTGCTTACAAGGTGGAAACTAGTAGAGGGGCTCAATTATCCGGTCTGTATGTCTCCTTGGGCACAGACGTCTCGCAATTCTGGAGAAGCTGCCTTGAATTCTTGGGCGCAGAATTACGGCTGGTGGGCTGGAATAGCCTCGTTTGCAAGTTTGGCACAAATACGATTATGACGTCGCGACTTGATATCGCCACCACGCCAGCGTCAGAGCTAGCTGACTGCACGCCTCCGGTTGCCCTTTTTCCCTCCTCTTATCGGGGCCATATGCATTGCTATGCTAATCTCGCACCGAGATGGTGTTCTTTTTCGTCCCCATGCCGGAGGAGTGCCCCCCCTTGTTAGCCATGTTCCCGCACTCGTTCGTGCGAGCAATTAGCCAGGAACGCACTGGATAAGCTAATATCCCGCATCTGATCTGGTGTCACCTCCGGATTTCTTTCGAATTTGCCGACCCAAAGACATGTCCCATCTGCTGGATTGGGAACCTGCAACGAGGGCATTTTCCGGTATGTGCGAGACCGACTTACATGAACCCGAGCTGGATATGGAATCAGTCGGTAGTCACGGCTTCTCTCCCCCCCTTACACCGAGTCTGCCGACTAGCAAAACTTACTCCACCGTCATACGAAGACCAAAGTTCGCCGGCTTTCGTCTTGATGGTTACAGAACGCCGTCTGATTGATCGCGGCTACCTTGGTGCCTTTTCCCAGGCCACGCCAATCCTGATGGCTAGTTCTCGAGTGGATCAGCCTCAATACATATTCGTAAGGTTGGGCTGCCATACTGGTCCATACTTGTGCCCAACCTGACCGGGGCCTGAATAAACCTCGGGCCTTTTCCTACGGGAGAGCGTCAACCATTTTGGACGATTTGCAAGGCATGTGCAGAAACGTGACACCCGTTGTCGTCTAGCCAAGATACCAGCATTGGCTCTCTCGCGCGGTCACATCAAAACGAATGGCGACTTCTTTGGCTACAAGCTTTAAGCGAATGGCCTCTCAGCATGCAATGGCTTCTGTAGAGGGATGCCATCATCTCACCCTAATGCCTTGATCTATATGTACGCATGTATAGATTGGGTTTACGTCTAATACTTATACGTCAAACTATTGGCATGCGGCATCCCAGTACGGCACTTGATATCGAGCCCTTCCCGTCTGACACGTGCATGCACTGGCATATGCCATGCACAGGCAAGAATTACATACAGATACTCTGCGTACGCCCGTACGTGGGCATATGTGGGCATGGAGGCGTGCTTGCATGCCCGTTGCACACCTGGACGAGGTTCGCTTCAAACCTTGAGGGCAGGGAACGAAGGGCATGCGTGTACGGAGAGTTCAGAACGCTACTGTACCTAGGTAAGGAGGGCTTGGCTGTAACACCCATGAGAAGATTGACAAGGCATGGCATGGGATTCCCTGCCCTACCTTCTCTCGATGAGGGCGAAGCAAGTCTCTGGGCATTCCCAGAACCTTGGCAGCATCGACATTCAAAAGCCCACTCGACAAGTCCCACAACTTAGCACATGCTGGATCCCTGCTCCCGTTGAAGCCCAATGCGGCCGTTTCCCGCCAAGAACAAGCGTGGGTTGGGCACATATGACAAGGGGGGATGCTACACTATTCCAGAAGCCATGAGACGCTGAGCCGTCACGGTTGCGTCCCGGCCGTATTCGGGTCAATTGCTGGCTTCTGAGCTGAAGGGCGTGGAAGCATTGCGGCTGTTGTTATGAGAGCTGGACTTGTATATCATGTGAAGGGCTCTTCCAATGAGACGTTACAGTTGCTGCCCTTGAAGATGTGTTGGTATATATGTAAAATTGTGGCATTATCACCGTAGACCTCTTGAAGTGGTTCAACTTACATGCACATATTCATCTCGCCAGTCATTACTTACAAGGTGTGATGAGATACAGACCCTGAAACATGCTGGACTCGGCATAGTTGAAAACTGCTTTCCATTTCTTTCAACATACTTATAACTTACAATCAAGCTCTAGGCATACAGAGTATGTAAGTCAACATGGGAAACAAGAAAGAACCAGTAAACACCCACGGTCCATCACTACTCACGACTCGTAGTTCAAGCCAACGAACCCATCGGATCCCACAATGGTAACACAATGGGCTCCTGTTTCAACACATCTCTCACCTCCTTACTGCAGAATCTCGGGTCCACGACAGCTTGGTAGACAAACTCGTCCATCCAAGCATCGCTCATGACAAACCAGCCCTTGTCACCAGCTGCAGTGCCCCAGCTGTTCTGCACCCGCCATCGAACTGGCTTGCCCGTCTTCTCATCCACATGGACCGCCGTCAGAACCATGGCGTGTGTCATGAGACTCTCGCCCGTCATGAGTCTCTGCGCCTTGGTCATGCCCTTCAAGCCGGTATTGATGCCGGCCTCGTAGTCAAATAGATCCAGATCCATGATGCCCGCTACTCTGTCACTGAACTTGCCAACATCGCAGCCAAAGAAAATGGGCAATCCGGCCTTGAGCATCTTGACACACGTTGACTTGAGAGTGTCCATTTCCACATTTACATATGTAATGTCCCGACCGCCAACAATGTTGCCCAGTCTCGAAACAGTGAGCTTCTTCAGCGGATCGTGTCGAGGATCATGGACCAGCGATATCATGCTCGTAATGACATCCGAAGTGACGCGGAACTCGGAGCTGTAAATATCCTTGGAAAAGGCCTTGGGAGTCGTCTTGACCTCACGAGCCTTGCCATCCTTGTCAAGGAACTGCCACGTAAACTCCTCCGTCGGCTTCGGAGGCTGTCCCAGCAAGAGCGTCATGATGAGCGCAATCTCCTGGATCATGTACACCTTGTACGCACTAATAACAGACGGCGGAATCGGCGTCCCGTTGCACAAGTCTCGCAGCTGCAGCGCAAACTCTCGCAGCTTCGTCTTGATGATACTATTGAGGATGCTCGAGTTCTGGGCGTTCCAACTATCCGGGTACAGGCTCTGGGGCACGAGACCGTACTTCTCGACGAGGTTGTACACCATGTCCCACTGCCCGCCGTCTGAAATAAGGTCCCCGAGCAGCCGCTGCACGACGCGGCTGTCGAGGTCGTCCTTGGCCGTCTCGACAATCTGCTCGAGGAACCAGTTGGCCTTTTCGAGCTTGTCCCAGTAGAAGAGGTAGGCCTGGGACAGCTCAAAGGACGCCAGGTTGTGGCGCTTCATGAGGGCCACGCGGAAGACGTTTGTCGAGGCGAAGAGCCAGCAGCGCCCACTGGACCGCTGGTTGGTGATGGGATCGCCTTCAAACGGGATCTGGACGTTGAAGACGTGCTGGTTTGCAATCTTTACCGATGGCGAAACCAGAGCTTGCCGGGGATCAGACGAGCTCAATGTTGCATGCGCCAGTCTAAAGAGAAAGCCTCGCTGTCAGAATCTCAATCATGTCGCCGCTCAACTCAAAGAAGCCATCGACTCACCTGTTCTTCGGATCCTTCATCACATTGTCTATCCAGAGCTCGAGTGACGAGACGGGCAGGCCCTCAGGCTCCCGCTTGATATGCTCACGATGCTCCTCCGTCTTCTCAGCATCGCCGCTGACCTGGACCTTGAGATAATCTTCATCTTCCACCTTGAAGCTGCGGAGGCGCTCCAATATAAGCTTCTCGCTCTCCGAGGCAGTGACTGGCTTGGACGGTTGGCCACCCATTATGACGACTCGCAGAAGCTATTATTTGGTGTTTCCCACGTATGTATCTTTTCCCACCGACAATAACTTCTCGGGTGCATGTATGTCAGGATATACGTCTGAAGCAGCAAACTCTCGGCACACGACCCGTGAGTCAACGTAACGCTGGAGCAGCTTCTTATCTCACAGACATGGATCATCTGCATCTACTTTTGCTTATCCGGCCTTTCCCCCTCATTCCCCTCCCTATAAGTTCGAAATCGCGGGCTATCATTTGTCGGCTATAATCCTACAGATTGGTTCTTTTGCCACGCTACCTGCTTTTGGCTATTCACACGTACCGTCCCCAACTTAGGGCACCTGCTTACAATTACTTGACCATCAAGGTCATTATTTCTCTGTCGCCGGCCAATTCTGACCACCTGTTTGAAGGCACTGGTATCTGTAACGAGAATAAAAGATCCACGAATGTTAAATACTGGGTATAGGGTAGCTTGGACAGGTTACAGAACCACACGCCGGGCACGGTGGGGCCGAGCATAAAGCGCTATCAGCTCTCATAAACCGGCCATCGTGTACTAACTTGTGGGGTTTCCCCATGTATCTCATGACCATTCAGCCGGTCAGTGGTACCTGAATGATACACAGCAAGGAAGTCTTTTACGCGTTTTGGAGGCAGTGGATGAGGAAGTACGCGACAAAGACTCGGATCACGACACAATGGAATCACCAAGAGATAGTAGGGTACAAGACATTATGCAAAATCCATCTTAATTACAGTGCGGCATATAGGCAGATCCTATCTACTGGACACTCTGCCTCATAACCAAAATACAACCCTAACCGATCCAAAAATGACAATCCGTTCCGCGCACCCTCCAAGCCCATGGGGTATATTTCACATTATTCAGACTAGAACCGAGCCTGGAATATCCATAGGATGGATGGACAACCCTTCCTGAAAACAAAGCAGAGCTTGTTTACAAGCGAGAGCCGTGGATGACCTTCATCTCAACAGCGAGCTCACGGCCGCCATCGTTGAGGACGAGGACACGGACGCTGCCGCGGCCAGACTCGAAAGCCTGCTGGAGACGAGACCAAAGGTTGGACTGGTCAATGACAGACAGACCCTGCTTGACATCGCCGGTCTCGGTCATGGCAGTGACGAAGCCGTCAGCCATGTCGAGGACACGGTACTGCTTGAAGACAGGGCCGAGCATGGTCTGGACAACAACGCTGGGGGCGGGGTTGGCAATGAAGGAAGACTCCTCGTGCAGCTGCTTGGTGAAGAGGTCAACACCAAGGTAGCGGTACTGGCCAGTGGCAGACGAGGTCGAGATGCGGATGACCTGGCATGGTCGGCCCTGGAGCATCAAGAAGTCACCCAGACGGATGTGGTGGCAGGGGATGGACACAGTGTTAGGCTGCGACTCGGTGGCAGGAGCTGGGCGGCGCGAAGAATTAGCATCGTGGCGGACAACATCAACCTCAACGTGCTCTGTAATGGTAGTGTTATTATTGTCACTGTGATGATGGTGGTGGTGGTGGTTGTGATGATGATGGGGAAGCAGCTTGTCGGCAGCCTTGGCCAAGCCATGCTTCACATCCTGGCGGATGGAGTGGTAGGAGCCTACCGGCGACACGCGTTAGCGTACGCTTGCACGCGCTTGGCTGACAAAGAAGGAAAAAGTAATAACAGAAAGAAAGGTTAGTATTAGCTTACCTTCGTCGTCGTAGTAACCCATCTTGGCTGATTGTTCGGAAGGATACGGAGTAGACTCGCGAATTTCCTCAGTGATCTTGATATCCTCACGGAAGTTGGGACGGGCAATGGAAACACGCTCGTCGACGGTGATGTCAGAGACCTTGTGAGAGGACTTTGACTTCTGGTGATGAGGACGACGGACTTGAACTAGTTCAAGACCGGTAGTAGCTTCGGGTTGTTGAGGACGGAAACGTTCTCGGTATTCACGCTCAGCAACGTCAATGGGGTTGGAGAAGCGGCGAGATGAATCAACTTTGACCTGAGTCTCAGTGTAGTCGCGAGGAGGAGGTGGGATAGGTCTAAAAGTACTCGAGTTAGTTGGAGAGATTCCCTTTTGTGCTTGAGCTTCCTTCGTCTCTGGGCCAACACCTGTGGGCCCGGGCACCCCTGAGCCGGGATAAAATAGCATGGCTGGGAACCCTAGCTGAACTCCCACCCCGGCTGTCAGCTCCCCATAGTGAGCTCCGCCGCCCTCCCCGTGCCCATTCTCATCTCCACTCGCAATTGACGCGTTCTAGAAGCCGCGGCACAAGCTGCGAGGAGAATACGAAGGGCAATTTCAGCAGCCGCGCTGGCAGGCGGTCTTGGCTTTTGCTCACTCGGGGTCCCCATGGCCGCTCGCTCCCTTTCCCCCTTTTCCCTCCCTCGGCGGCTCACACCGCAAGGGACAGAAAAAAAGGGCAGAGAAAATCGTAAAAGAGCAAAGAAATAGATATCAACTTACCGGAACTCTTCCTTTACGAAGCGTTCGGACTGGCGGGAACCGGGACGGCGGTGACGTTCTTCCTCACGAGTGATACGGACCTCTTCTTCAAAGCGTTGTTCGACGCGAGGAGGAGCTAGGTCGGTGCTTGGGGGGAAAGAAGAGAGTTGACCCTCCCGTCCGGCTGGCTTCTTTTGAGGGAGGGTTAGTTGAACCTCCTCGTGAGTGGTGATTTGAGTCTGAGGGCGTGCTGCTTCGTTGTCCTTATAAGTGGACGGGAAGATGCTAAAGGGCACGGGAACTCGGGCTTCAAAGTCCAGGTTGACGGCTTGCGCTGGCGCGAGAGAATCTTCTCATACAACCTTCCGTAAGATCACGAAAGGAAGACAAGAAGGATCCTCAAGCTTTTGTTCCTGAAACAAAAGTCGAAGAGAGAGAGAAAAGAGAGAGGGATTGGATACCTCTGAGAGTCTTTTCTTTCTTTGTTCCTTTGTTTCTGGTGGGCGATTGAGATAATTGGAGGGAAGGAATGGCGGATCAGAAGCAACGACGCTCGATGGGCTTTTGAGGTCGGGGGCTAGGCCTGCGATTGAGGGCGTGCTCGCTGTGTTGCGTTGCCAAGGAGGGTAAGCCTATCGGGCCTCCATGTTTACCTGCCACCGGGACTGGCCATGTTGTTGTTTATTCCCATCACAAGCGGCTTAGTCTTGTCGTATCCTGGCCTCTCGTCTCCGCCATCGTCTCCACATTCAGCCAACCTCATCCAACTCCCCTGCAAGCTCAGCAAGCTCAGCAGGCATCTCGTCCACTGGTTTCCCGAGGCTGCGTCTCAGGCGTACTAGAGTCTCCAGTCGCCAGTGGACTCTTCGGACATGAATGCTGCAACCCAGCGGTAAGCGGATGGGACCCCAAGGGCGACCAAGAGCTCCCCAGCCTCCTTGCTTCCCTGCTTCCCTTGCGTCCCCCTGAATCGGCCGCTGATTGACCAGTCAGGCTCGGCGATTGATGTTCATGGCTACTCTGCCACTAGTGGCAGTAATAAACCGGTAATGTAATCTAGTACCTGTAGTACCCCGTAGTAGCTGCGGTAGCTCCCCATACAGTAAGTATTGGTGTGGTCAGCTCCGACCCAATTTTAAGCGCGACTGTGGCCTCCCTCTTTGCCTTTTGGCCAGCAATTGGCGCGACTGGTTCCTGGCCTAGAGGGTTCCCCGATCCAGCCTCATCGGCCATGGGGGCCAGCAGACCGTGGGCGAGAGACTGAGCGAGCGAGACAGACGAGACAGCAAGCGAGAGAGGCTGGGAGCAGCCCGTGCCGTGCCATTGAGTCTGGTAATACTGATAGACCTGCCAGCAGCATGTGCCGCACTCGTATGGCGCCACCGGGAAAGAGTTTGGGCTTATCAAGGGAGGGCAGGCTCCGTCCGAGCTGATGCTGCATCTCTGTCCATCGTTTATCCTCCTTCGCCAATACCGGCTGGAGGAGGTCTATCAAGCGCCCACTTTTGTGATGCACATGCAGTCTTAGCTGCAGCAGCGCAAAACAAGAGATGGCTGGGGGAGGGCTACTCTCGATCTTGTCGCGCTCTGGCTATTTGCTGGCCAGACTTGAGGGCCCGTCGTTGTTCGGGGAGCTGCGCACTCGGGGCTGCCATTGGCCAGCTTGGCGTGCCGCCCGCCTGAGACTATGGCTGCGGTTTGCTGCACGTACAGTATGTAAAGGGTGCTCGCTCCCTGCCACCCGTGCGTGTGTTGACATCGTGTAAAGCCGCCATTGGGCTGTTTGATGCTAATGCAGCAGGATAATTGCGTACTCGATTGTACGGCAGCTGTGCTGTAGCACCCGAAATATGTGGCTGGGTGGCAACAAGCAGCCAGACTTGTCGGATCGGTCCCAGAGGGGGGACCCTGCCTAGCTCCAGACTCAGGCTCAGATAGAGATGGCTGGCAAACTATTCGACCAGTCGCGGGCCAGGCCTCGGTCCGCTTTTCGGGCAGCTCATTTCCTTCTCAGTTGGCCATGACGTTCTGGTGGGAAATACACAGCGGTTCCCTGTGCCCAATCCATGGCAGATCTGTGCCTTTAAGCTCCCTCTGTCGGCCGCCCCTGGTTTGCCCGTACATTCGTCCTGAACATCAGCATGGATCTCGTGGGCATCGACGTCTCGTGCATACGAGGAGCTGCCAAATGCTGGGGACCTTGACTGTCTTCCCGTCTCCTCTCCACCTCAATTATCTGGTTGCTGGGACGACATTTGCCCAAGATGATCCTTCTGCCTCTGGGGGGTGACAAGGATATCACCAGCGTTTCAACCTGTACTGTAATCTGTACCACTTGGACAGCACCGCACCAGACGTCCAACAAGGTGGCAGGGAGCAGGTCCGTGCTGCGACGCGTCGTTCTCGCGAATCGCGGGTGGACCGAGGAAGAAGCTCAATTTCGCGTTTCGATTGGATTGGTGACATGGACGCGGCGGGTCCAATCGTGGCCGCATGTGCCTCGGTCGAATGGCTTCAGCTGCTGATTTCCCCAGAGGTTTGCCCGGATGAGCGTGAAGCCTTGTTGAGTGCATTGGAGCAGCTGTCACACCAACTCAAGATTAGCGGCCGCGTGGCCTAATGGCTAAGGCGCTAGATTTCGGTTTCAGAGAATCACCTTCTCTAGAGATTCCAGGTTCGACTCCTGGCGTGGTCGTCTGCTTCTGTTCTCGCTTTTTTGCTGCTGTTTCTCACTTCTCACTTTTCATTTTTTTTTGCCCTTGTGTATTTGTCAACGGTTAGTTGAGTCGGCGCGTTGCTTACGAGCGCTGCTGTAAGGAGGCGACGAGGAATTTGGCTGCAAAGGTCCTTCCCTAATACCCAGCCTCCTCTTTTGACTGTTATGTCCGCTTTGGGCAACTTCTAGTGCCTCTCACTCGTATCAGAGTGTCTCACCTTTTTGGAGACTAATTTCTCGACTGCATGCTTTACTAAATGCTCTACGTAAGCCGGAGATTCAGGCCGATTTCTTCCAGCCAGTCCTTTGGCTCTGCTTGGCTTCATCTCCAGCGCTTGCATGTGCTGCAAATCAGCGTCAGCTGCTGCCGCCGCAATGCACAGCAGTTGGTGTTCTGCATACCTTAGTAGGTTAGGTAGCTGTCAATGCTAGAGCTATGCTGAGCTTGTCATTCCCGCTGGTATTGGCGAATAGCGTCTTCCACCTAGATACCATTCATACACGCTCCATCCAACGACGTCTCACAGATTATACTTGTACAGTATTCTACGTCTTAACTGTAGCTATAGCAATCAATCTCTTATTTCCCCAAAGACGAGGATGTTTACTACCGCCTTACTTACAATTGGCCCATCTCAGCTCTGGTTCCTTGCCATTATGCGTTATGCCAGGCCACGTGATGCCCATGCTTATGTCGTCACAGCTGCCCCGCGGCCAAAGTGCCCCACGGCGACCAATGTTGAAGTTTCCCACCAAGCTTCAAATATATACGCTTCAGGGTCTGCGCAAACTCAATTACCAGCATGAAGCAGAGGTTTTCGTCTCTCGATGTCAAGGTACTTTGCAAACAGCCTCTTCCTCTCTGTATCAGCAAGCCAGCGTCACCAATCGCCTGCTGACCACTTTCTTGATTAGGTCATTGCGCATGAGCTCCAGGCGAGCTTGGTGACTCTGCGACTCTCGAATGTCTACGACCTCTCCTCCAAGATCCTGCTCCTGAAATTCGCCAAACCGGATAACAAGCAGCAACTTCTCATCGACAATGGATTTCGCTGCCACTTGACCGACTTTGCCCGAACAACTGCGGCGGCACCGTCTGCCTTTGTAGCCCGGCTACGCAAATATCTCAAGACCAGGCGGTTGACGTCCGTTGCGCAAGTAGGGACAGACAGAATCCTCGAGTTTCAGTTTAGCGATGGCCAATATCGCATGTTTCTCGAGTTCTTTGCTGTATGTTAATTGCTGTATCCTGGCTGTCCCGTGAGCATGCTTCCACGAGGCTAACCGATGGTGTTGTTATAGAGTGGAAACATTATTCTCACCGATGCCGACTTGAAGATATTGGCCATTTCTCGCAATGTCAGTGAGGGAGAGGGGCAGGAGCCACAAGGGGTTGGCCTACAGTATTCCCTGGAGAATAGGCAGAACTTTGGCGGGATTCCACCTTTGACAAAAGAACGAATAAGGGATGCCCTTAAGACTGCCGCCGACAAAGCCGAAGCAAACACAGTAGCCGCTAATTTCTCCGGTAAGAAAGCAAAAGGCAAATCTGGTGGCGATCTACGAAAAGCGTTGGCGGTTTCTATAACAGAACTGCCTCCTGCCCTGGTTGAGAATATTCTTCAGGCAAATAACTTTGA